TCCTCCTGCAGTCAGTGTCAGTGCGTGTGTTTTGTGAGATGGAGGAGGACTTTGTAGATTGGTGTCAGACATATGGGCGAAGGTTGGACTTAGGAGCTTGGACAGCACTGGGTTGGGATGCTTTCTTAATGTACACTTACCCTCTATATTAAGGTGACCAGATTTTAACATTGGTAAAGCGGGACACCCTTGATAAAACTCATATCCTGGTGAAATAGCCACATGGCAGCTAAAAACCGTATACCCTAGCTTGTCTTGCATTCTTTCCAAAAATTGGGACTTTTTAAAAACGCTGCGGGAGGCGGGAAAAATTATTGAAAATCAGGACTGTCCCGCTTTTGGCTGGTCACCTTACTCTATATACAACTCCCTTATACAGATGAGCTTCTGTGGATTTGTTTCCCTGGTTTACCCAGACTGACACCCACCCCTCCATTTGAGTCTTAAGATGGTTTGAGCTGCTGACCCCTTGGCTGCAGTTTTGTGAGGGGCCCACGGGACTAGCCTATATTCCCGACCCACAGAAATGCTGAGATCATAGACGCCACGCTAAGCCATGTCGGAGTAATTTGGTGTGTGGCAACGGATACCGAAGACAGCAGGGCTGTATTCCTCCTAGCCTCAGAGATTAGGAGCCTTGGAATCACTGCCCACCGTAATCAAAAAAGGGACACTCCCATACTCTAGATAAGAGATCCTGCCCCTCCCCACCTCCTCTTTCCACTGTGAAGAGCGAGAACGAAGTCAGAAAGCCTCTGGAGAAGGAGGGTCCAGAACTACATGGGTTCTGTGTGGAAACCCTCTCCCCTTCCTCTCCTGTGATGAAAGGAATTCTATGTTCTTTGGAAAACTAGCTTGAGAACTTCCTCCCACTGACCCCGAGGAGTTATCTGTACCCCAGGTTCTGCTCCAGAAGGTTCGTTCCTTCTGTCCATTTTCCTGGGGAACCGTAAGTGGGTTTGACACTTTTAATCTCTTCTCGGGCTGCAGCCTGACCTGTGACTGGCATGGACCTTGCAGAGAATTGTCAAAGGGCCATAAAGTTAGGTGAGTTGTAGCCTATCTTGCGAAGGAAGTGTCTGCGGCTTACCAAGAAGGCATTGGGCAGGCAGTGTTGTGGGAGTGCTGTGTCTTGAAAGTGACCATTTGTGTATAGTGCAAATAGCCAAACCCATAGCTGTTTTTGCAGGCAGGAAGAGGTGGAGCAGGAAGAAGCAGAGGGCGCCCAGGCAAGGACTGTAACAGGGGTCCAGGCCTGTAACAGTGAAGATGGCAGCAGGTGTGGAAGCAGTAGCGCCGGGCTAAGAGAGTACCTGTCCTGAAGGGGCAAGAAGAGGCCTGGCGAGGTGGGAGTTGCGAAGCTATCCTGCACGGAAGGGAGAGTTTGCTGCATGCTTCCCCATCCTGAGCCTGAGCTGTCGACTGTTGATCTTTTGCTGTACTGTTGTACTGTTGCTTCCTTAATAAACCACCTAACTTGTAAGTGTAGTCTGAGTTCTGGTTCGCTATTGCAATGGATTCTGGAACCCAGAAAGAAAACCCTGAGGGAAGGGCAAGCTGGTGTTAGAACTGGTAAAACGTTGGAGAGGGGAGGTTATGTCTGACCCAGGGGAATCAACTTTGTGCTGCTGATGAATGATTATCTTTCTTATCCATGCAAGGACAGGTTTGAACACAACTACTAGTCCCGTTTCACACCTCCCATTATTACTAAACTCACCACAGTAATCTGCTGTGGGACCATCAAGCTCCTCAATCTTATGCATTCCATCCTTGCTAACTTAAGCTCCACAGCATCTATCACATTCTGGAATCTCATCTCCAGCCAGCTTGGTCCTTTATGTGCACTTCTCTGCACCCTCCTCCCCCCACCCCCCTCCACTGCTCAGGCCCTTCCACTGGGCCCCTGGAAATCATAGTCAACCGTAACAAATCTCTAGGCTCTCAACTTGAATTTCCGGATGTTCCACTCATCAACTTGCTCTAATGGAAACCTGATTTTCCCATGCGGACAGCGCTTCTCTCCCTGTCACCCCCCTAAGTGGTGGCTGTTCTCGCTCTCACAGACCTTTCACCACCGGCCCTAGCGGTGGGGAGGGTAGCCCTCCAAGTCTTCACTCTGATTCCTAGGCATTTCCCTTCTCTGGAGTTCCCCCTTCCAAAGCCCTTCTAACTCTGAATTCAACACTGTAAGCCGCTACCCTTCCTTAATGCAGGCATCGACAAACTTCCCGCAGTAGTCCCCCCTACTCTTTGAGGGCTGTAGCAATGGTTCACTGTCACTCAGTATCATAAGTCTATCCTTGTAGATTACTTTCAAACATGCAGGTCTTTGGCCTTCTCTCCCCCACAAATATTGTCCTTCACCCTACCCCAGGCAGTTACTCCCATGGCTATTTTCTTAGACAGGTAATTCTCAACCACTGGGATTATTTCCAAATGTGTGAGTGTATGTTAGGTTGTCTTAAGAACTTGGGGGTTCAACTGGCATTAATGGACAAGGGCGGCCACAGGTACTAATGTACTGGGATGTGCTGAACAGTGACCACATAATTACGAATTGTCACACAAAATACCAGTAGATACCAGCACTTATCGGCAAGTACTGCAATCCCCTTCCATAATTTTGCAGAAGCATCTCATTCTTCTATCACCATCTGTCTTTTGCGGTTACTATCTTTATCCAGTCCTGCAGCTCAAGTAATTCTTTGAGTCTGTGCCACATAATGATCCTCATAGCCTGTCCCTAATTTTCCTTTCCAGCCCAATTTCACTATTTTCTGTCACTTATTCTAAGCCAGTAATTCATCAAACATTTTGCTCTATATCCCTTTATAAAGGAGCCCTGGTGGTGTAGTGGTTATGCGTTGGGCTGTGATCCTCCATGGTCAGCAGCTCCTTGGGAGAAATACTGGGCTTTTCTACTCCTGTAAATAGTTACAGTCTTGGAGACCCGCAGGGGGTCACACAGTCAGCATTAACTTGAGGCAATGAATTTTTTTGGGGGTGGTGGTGTTTTTTTTGGGGGGGTTGTATCCTGTATAGGGAGCCCTAGTGGTATAGTAGTTGTGCATTGGGCTGCTAACTGCTAGGTATGCCGTTGAAAACCATCAGTCGCTCCATGGGAGAAAAATAAGGCTTTCTACTCCTATAAAAAGTTATAGTTTCAGAAATCCACAAGGGAAGTTCTACCCTGTCCTATAGGGTTAGGGCTGCTATGAGTCAGAAGCAGCTCAATGACAGTAACTTTGGGTTTTTTTGTATCCCTTTTGTATCCTTGAAAATTATTGACAGGCCCCCAAAAGCTTTTTTGAAGAAAACGTAAGTTAGAGCTCAAAAACCAACGTCACGGCGGAGTCGATTCTGACTCCCAGTGACCCTGTGGGGCAGAGTGGAACTGCCCCTGTGGGTTTCCAAGACTCTCTTATAGGGGTAGAAGACCTCATCCTTCTTCCTCTTGGCAGCTGGTGGTTTCAAACTGCTGACCTTGCCGTTTGCAGCCCTACATGGAAGCTCTGTGCCACCAGGGCTCTTCTGGTTAGAGCTACTGATAGTTATTAGAAACTGAGCATTTGACAATACTAATTGGACCCTCTCCACATGGCCCTCCTCCCTTTGGCTGCCGTGACTCTGAAGTTAACGGAGGTTAATAAGTTAGGGAGAGTCAAAATGAACAAAAGTGTTACATATGCACCTTACATATCAATATTTAAATACTGTTGAAATAGTTAAATATTTAATATTTTCCTAAGTACTTTAAACTACTTCCGGAAGAGAAAAAGCAGTCCATATTTCCTGGCTGTGAACATGCCATTGGTTTTGTAATAGAGGAAATAATACGGTCAAGTTTTGAGGTAGCATTCCCTTTCTTATTGAAAACAATTCATGACATTTCAAAAGTTGTAGTATGTACAATTCAGTCACATTAACTGCATTCACCAGATTTTACAGCAAGTACCATTATTTTTTTGTAAATTTTCTCAGCCTCCTTAACAAAACCTTTATCATTTCCCCTTCCCATCTGCTCAAGGTAATGAATTGGATCTTTTCTAATCGTAGAATTACATGTTATTTGCCCTTTTCGTTTGATCTACTTCACTCAGAGTGATTTCAAGGCATGTGCCAGCACTTCATTTCTCTTTGGGCTGAGTGATCGCGCTCTACTGCATGCTGGGTCTCATGTTTGATTTAGCAATTCATCTGGTAGGGACAGCTGGGCTCTTGCTACCTTTGGTTACATGCGCTGATGTATGCATTTCTGAGTAGCTGCTTTTAGTTTTTGGGGGTGTACACAGGAGTGAAGATGCTGGGTCGTAAGGTTAGCTTACAGTTAGCTTTTTACACACCAACGAGGCGTCTTCTATCGTGCTGCCCCATTTGGCAGTCCCACCACCAGGGGATGAGGGTTCCGGTTTCTCTACATTCTCAGAGATGGCAGTTTGTGATTTCAAACCTTACTTTGTTCATTTGTGTTAAAAATGCTTGATTTTGACTTAAGGAAAGGTTTACAGAGCAGATCACCCGTTTCCCATCCAACAATTCATACATATTTTGACCAGCTCATTCATTATAGTCCCCTTGATGGAGGCTGTCAATCTCACAGAAGCAGACTACCCCACAGCTCTCCCAGGCGGCAGCAGGTGGCGTGAACCTTGCAGTTAGCAGCGGAGCATCTCAATCACCCCACCACCAGCAACTCTGGTGAAGCATGACCGACCGTAAGTGCACATCCACACCCTACTTTTCAGGGTCTTTGAAGTTGCTACAGTTAGTTAAACACAAACAAAACAAAAACCTGTTGAGGCAGTTCCGAATGGACCGGCAGGTGTGATTCTCATTGATCTGTCTTTTGTTCTCTCACTCTAAGCACTCAATCACTTAGGAGCTATGAGAGAATGTCTATCGCAGGAGAAACATTTCTGCATTTACTGACGCTGAGCTAAGGGCGCAGTGTCTTCTGAGTTACAGGAGCTAAGAGACTACTGGGTGGCTCGCCTTACCCCTTCACTGGTTTTCTGCAAGTCTGAAGCCGTGTTTCTTGTGTCGTTGCCGGCATCTCCACCGTCAGAGCTGCTTTTGTGTTCTTCTTCTTTGCGGTCCTTGTCATCGTCATCTCCTGCAGATCTCCGGGATTGTTTGGAGGATTTCTAAATGTTTAGACAAGTTAGAAATTATAGTCAAAAGTAGAAGCCCAAGTGCACGTGTGGTAAGCAAGAGTTGCAGAAGGAAGCAAGGAGGGCTGCATCAGACCTTGTGGTTTGGTAGAGTCTCTAGGGACTACAAAGCTGGGCAACACGAACGTGGGCAAATCATTTCACGTCTGTGGGCCTCCGTTACAGGAGGTCGAGGTGGCCTAGATGACGTCTCAGCTCTTCGGAGGTGTATGGAACTAAAGTCAGGAAGAAAGATTCATGTAGCCAGAACACTGCCAAGGAACATTTAGAAGTGCATGGACACCACCATAGGAAGGCAACTTGTCCACACAGAAAGTCACACTTGAGTTTTACAGAGCTGTGATGCCCCCTAAGGCCACACTGTTCTTCCCCATCATTTGACAGTGGTGGAAATTGAGGTACGGAAGTAAACTATTCAAGATCACCTTAGGAAATCCACAAAGACACATCAGTAGAAGCTGTTTGATCAATAGTATAGATGGAGTCATCTTAACCAAACTTCGTATTATCGAAGATCCCAAATCCCAAATCACAAACCATGCAATATACATTAGCTCTGGTCTTCAATAAATAGGTTTGCCAACTTTTGGCTAAAGCCAAAGACTAGGAGCCCTGGTGGCGTAGTGGTTATGTCTTAGGCTGTTAAGCACAAGGCCAGCAGTTGGAAACTACCAACCTTTCTGAAGGAGAAAGAGAAGCCTACCTGTAAAGCTACAGTCTTGGAAATCCACTGGGGCAGTTCTACCCTGCCTATAGGGTCTCTGATTTAGAATCAACTAGAAGGCTTTGAGTTTTTGTTTGAAACTAAAAATTGAGATGCTAAAGAAAAGTCTTCATATGCTAATTACAATGAACCCCTGACCTTCTACACCTTTTGAGGTACAAACAATCGGAGGTAGCCTTTGATAAGTGTGACAGCCCAACAGCTTAAGGGTAATATAATTCTGCTAAGAGAATTCTCACCTGTGTGCCCAGAGAACCCGGATCACTTTGGTCCTTGTGATTCCCACCGCCATGAGGCAACAATATAGCAAGAGAAGCATACTTGGGGCCATCAAGTCCATGCTGCTGCTTGTAGCAACCCCAGAATAAAGCTGCCCCTGTGAGTTTTAACTCCATGGGAGCAGAAAGGCCTGTCTTTCTCCTGCAGAGCAGCTGCTGGTTTCGAATGACTGACTGTAGCAGTCCAACCACTATGCAACCAGGGCTCCTCCGTAGGACAGGAGAGCTGCCCGGTATAAAGACTTCATAATCTTTGCAAACTGGGACGCACTCACACACAGTGTGTTCTGGAGCAGGTCTTCTAATAAATTCAGTTGTCTGTCTTTCTGCTCAACTCGGAGTGGTTACTGATCGGACTTAGCTATCCTACGACAGGACTGCACATTTTGGAGGTGACATCATTGTGTAATGCAACAGAACATTACTCTCTCTAATTACGGAGAGCTTTTTAAGAACCCAAACACCCTGATGACCAGTCCTGTGTTCCTGTCATGTTATCCATGAAATCACAGTGAAAATACAGAGAGAGAAAAATGCAAGTGTAGTTTGCAGCAAGAGTTGTTTATTAGCACAACAGCATTAAAATAATAAGCTAGCTTTAACTCACTGTCTCTAACTCTATACCTTTAAGTAATAAAATGTAGCTTTTTGCCAACATTTCTTCGATGAGAAACTTACAGAATCTTTAAGTCCACGGCAAATAAAAGCTAAAGCTGTCTGATTTAGTCAAGTTCGGTCTTCTAAAACTAAATTAGCCAATGAGCTTCCTCAATCAACTTTTTAAAACGCAGCTTCTTTAAAGAAAACATCTTCTAGCTATGTATTGGTGTTGTATAGTATAAAGGAAATAATACCTGTAAAAATTAAATTAACCCGGGGACCGAGCGAGATATGACGTCACAGGTTGCAGAAACAAGGCCTCAACGGGCACTGAGAGGAGCAAGACAGGCCAGGCATAAAATAGCTTGTGAAACCTGTAAAATCTATACCTCAGCTGTGCTGCAGATCATAAATGCCGCCCTCCTAGAAAAGAAGGTTGAACTGGTTTAAGAGGCATGCAACACAGGGACGCTTGTAACCACTAAGGAACTTGAAATGGCAGTTCCAGTGCCCACCGGGGATTTGAACTACGACGAAAGGAGTTGGATACATAGCCAACTAGTAGTTACGCTATTTCCCTGTGAGCTAGAGAGAGGGCAGAGGGGAAAGGGAGGGAAGGTGATGATGGCAGGAATCCTAACCCAAAGGAGAGGTGGAGCACCCTTCCCCTGCATACCTCTCTGGCACAAAGGAAGGGGAAGGGCAGAAAGACACAGTTCCTCCTCAGTGAAGAGACCAGACACAGGGAACAGGCTGGGTGGAGAGACGGGATGCTCACACCACCCCCACAAAGAACGAACAGAATGGAAAACAGCACAGCGTGAAGTCTGGGGTGCTGAGGGTCAGGAATGCACGCACATACCCGGAAAGAGGACCAGTCAATAGCAAAAGACCCCCAGAAAGCTAGCCAAAGGCGGGAGGCCTGCCATTAGCAGAAGGAAAGATTCAGCTCTACATTCTACCAGGCCTTGTAGACCAGCTACAGGCAGAAATCACCAGCCCCTCAGAAAGAACCTTCTGCTCCCACCCACAGTCAGTCTGGAAGCCACAGGGAAGTTCTCCCTTGGCTCATGAGTTGGCTTCAACTTCATGGCAATGAGTTTTTGTTGTTGTTGTTAAGGGGCCTTTGAACTTCTTTTCCAAAGAATTCCCTTCAATACACTCACCCTTTCTGTTCAACCCTTTTCGTTGACTCTGGTCTGAATTTTTACCCTTACCCAAAATCTTTCTTTTCTTTTCCTAGGGGAGAGCGCGAACGCAGTCCCCCACTACCACAAACTATGCAGTCGAGTTTCCCATATTTGGGGAAGTCGCAGGGGTCAGCACATCCGCAGTGCAATGGACAAGCCTCGCCCTGGGAAAACCACCTTCGTGATCATGGTGACTCCCCTGCCAGGTAAGTATCCAAAATCTTTCTTATGAGTTATGTCTGTTCTTGTTAGACTCCACTTTGAATTTTCAGACTCTAATTTGGTTCAACACTGTGCACACTCACTAAAAAGGGGGCCAGGCAAGACTGGCAAAAACCTTGTGACTCCAGAGACTGTCCGAAGCTTGAGTAAGGTACCCAGCTGCCCGACAAAAAGCATCTACTCTGCAGGCTTGAGGAGAACGGCCCCCATCTCTCTTGCAGGTCTCTGTTCCTTAATAAATGCCTGAACATAACTTTGGCCTTCTAGGCTTTCTGTCCATGCCATCTCTGAGAACGAAGAATACATAATCACCTTGCTTCTATTTTACTCAACCAAAACTGAAACTGCCAAGCCCAACCTGCCAGTATAAAATGAGATCATTTTTACTTTTATCATAAAGGGAAAGCTGAGATTTAATCAGCCACAAGTTAAGTGTTTACTGTTAGATAAAACCAGTCTGACAACATAAAAGGAAAAAAACTTTTTATTCTTCTACTAAATACGGTGTACTTTTTGAAGTGAAGTACTTTTTGATTGTCAAATAATAGACTTTGGCCTGTGGACCTAATAGATACTAAGAATGTACAACTCCCTAAAATTTATAATACTTGTTAAGAATATTTCTGGGTAACTTGTGAGTAGATAAACTATTATCTGAATTTGGTGTGTATAGACCAGAATTAGGGCATTATCAGAGTTTGACTAGAGAGTCAAATCCAGTATTCTACAAAGACTTGTGGGTGCAAGCTGTATTTGGGAACCTGCAAAGCAACCTGTGTTCAGATTGCTGGATTTCCTATAATTTGGAAGAACCCTTTATGTGTTTTATCAGTGTGGTTCTGTTTCCAATTACTGCTGTCTTTGTTTGCATTAAAAACAAAAACAAACTAAACTTCAATGATAGGTAGTTTAGCAGCAGCATCAGTTTAGATGGTAGTGAAGGCCCTGGTGGTGCCGTGGTTAAAGCACTCGAATACTAACCAAAAGGTGGCAGTATGAACCCAGCAGGTGCTTAGAGGAAGAGATGTGGCAGTCAGTCTCGGTAAAGACTTAGTGCCTCACACAGTGTATGGGCAGTTCCACTCTGTCCTACAGGCTCACTTGAATCAGAACCAACCCCATGGAGTGGGTCTGAAGGTTGATTAATTCCCATATACAGTGAATAATTTGCTTGCAAATTATTTTTAACCTGTACTTTTTTAGTGTCTGAGGGTTCAAATATGAATCATCCTTAATGCTAAAGATAACCCCTCTCCAGTCTGCTGCTTCTTTGGCTTTTCATTCTAATTCTTTTCCACACACAAAAATGAATGAGGTAGGGAGGTGGGGCCTTCTCTTCCAACTGAATGGCACACAGTCAAAGAGTTTATGAGCCACTCTTTTCCAAATGTAACACAGATCACCACATTTGACAAAAGGAAGTACGTGATAAGCCAAGAGACCAGCCAGGCTACGTTAGATATAAATGTTTCCATAAGCCAGCAATGTTCATCTCACCTGGAAATGCAGTGGGCTCATCCCAGAAATCCACTGCCTTCAACACAATGACCCGAACAGACTTTCCAGGACTATCACTCTGTGGGAGTAGACAGCAGCCTGATCCTTCCTCAAGGAATGGATAGCCAGTGGGTTTGAATTACTGATCTGGTAGGTTAGCAGCCTAACAGCTAGCCCCCAGTTCCCAGCCACACCCCCGATCCGGGATTCTGAGGCCACCCTCTCTTGGTTTTTCATTTCAGTCGGGCTAGCGGGGGCAGGGGCGCACTGGGGGCGCAGTGGGTTATGAGTTGGGCTGCTAACTGCAAGCCCTGCAGGAGGGATCCACTAGCTGCTATCTATCATAACCGTTAATGTCTCAGGAGCCCACTCCCCTGTGAAGTTCTGAATTGGCTATGTTTCCAATTATTGTAAAAACACTAAGTCTTATTCGTCTTATGGGGTTGCTATGAGTCAGAATCAATTCGATGGCAGGTTTTTGTTTGTTTTGCTTAGTGGGACAGAGAAATGCAACCTTAGACGAGAGGATGCTGAGACTTGGTCTCACATACTTTGGACGTGTTACATCAGGAGAGACCAGTCTTGGGAGGAGGACATCATGCTTGATGAAGCAGAGGGTCAGTGAAAAAGAGGAAGACACCCAGTGAGATGGATGGACGCAGTGGCTATTGAACTAGATTCAAACACAGAGACACAGTGAAGATGGTGCAGGCCTGGGCAGTATTTTCATTCTATCGTACAGCAGCGGTTCTCAACCTGTGGATCGCGACACCTTTGGGGGTCGGACGACCCTTTCATAGGGGTCACCTGGTTCATAACAGTAGCAACATTACAGTTATGAAGTAGCAATGAAAATAATTTTATGGTTGGGGGAGGGGTCACCACGACAAGAGGAACTGCATTTTTAATTTTTTTTTTTTTTGCAGGGGAGAGCGGGAACGCAGTCCCCCACTACCACAAATTATGCAGTCAAGTTTTCCACATTTGGGGAAATTGCAGGGGTCAGCACATCTGGAGTGCAATGGATGAGCCTCGCCCTGGGAAAACCACCTTCGTGATCATGGTATCTCCCCTGCCAGGTAAGAGGAACTGTATTAAAGGGTCGCGGTATTAGGAAGGTTGAGAACCACCGGGGGTTACGATGAGTCAGAACTGACTTCAAGGCACCTTACAACAAAATCTAGAGGTGAGCTCAGCAGCCTGTGTTTACTAAACCCTTCAGGTAATGCTGATGCAAGTTTAAGAATCACTGCACTATATTATCATGCAGGTAAAAGTCATGGTTCATACGTGATCATGGGAAGAGTTAAACCCTAATAAATATACCTTTAACCCTTCCTTCTTTTAAAGTATAAACCTTTCTTAGGTATGAATCCTAGAGCCTTATTACTTCTGGTCTTTGCAATAGACAATGAAATAATGGAATTTAAACGCCACACTATTAAATGCTACTTTTTAGCACTATTAAGGTAGACTATCTTAGGTAGTTGAGAAAATTTAGGGTGGTTCAACACATTATGTAGAAGCTCAAGAGTCAAACAAAAGTTAAATGAAATCACTTTAAATAAGTGAAGTCCACAATGCTAAAGTAAATTCATCTTAAAATCACCTGCAATGGTAGATACAGTCTGAAGTAAAATTCTAATCATTTTGTTGTCATTTGCAACACGACATCAATCAAGGCAAATGCCAGATTTTCCATTAGGTGCCCTGAAAGTAAGACTGCATTTTTTTGCTAGGGGTTAGATTTCATAGACTGCCAAAATAACATGTTGATAGTCTGATAACTCTTGTTACTTATTTGTAAAATGTTCCCCAAGTATAGGCAGGCTTACACTTAAGCAGGCTTTAAGTGGAAATAATTTATCCAAGTGTTCAACAGTGTGACAGGTGTGCAAGGATCCACACATCTTGCTTTCAGTTTCTAAAAGGTGAACAATTTCCCACAATCTCATAATTCTTTCCACTGAATTTCTGAATGTTTGAAAAGCCTAGACTTTCCATTTGCAAATCAAGGATCATGTCACTCCTCTGCTTAGAGCCTTCAATAAGTTACAGTTATACTTGGAATACAATCCAAACTTCTTAATATGGACTATAGTCTGCATGTTCCTGCTTAACCAGACTCCCCACGCCCTTGCATGCCACGCCTTTGTTCTTGCTTCTCCATGCACACTTGCCTTCTGTCAGCTCAGCACATGCCAACTCTTCCCTGCCTGCTTCAGACCTTTGCTGCTGTATACCACTTCTGGGCTGCGCCCACCCCACCTCCTCTTCCCAGGGCTCAATACAAACTTCATCTTTTAAAACAGGCTTGGCCACATTACTGTCATTCCCTGCTCACATTCACTTATTTCACAGTTCTTGAAATTGATCTGTTTGCTTGTTTGCCATCTGACATAGAACAGGTGGTCAGGAAATAGAAGAACTGAAAAAATAACGAGCAAAAGCGCATTCCTTGAAGCAGACAGACGGGCAAAGATGATATGCTATGTAAGTGTATATGTGCAGTGCATAAATGTCGTCCTGGTATACTAAATTCTCCAGAGGAGGCACATTATTGTAGGGGTATAACTACCCCAGTATCGTCCTATGTCCTTGACTGAACAACAGTCCTCCCACTGAGAAAGTGTCACTTTCTAATCAAACGGACAGCGCAATCAACCCCGAGAGTCCTTAGCCAGAATGCGCTCACATCCAAGGTTTCATGTCTCAGTCCCTCCTTTGTTACGTTATTGACGCGACAGGTAGGAGTGCCACAGAATCTACTATATTTTTATGTGCCCCCCACCCAAATCAATGGAAAATATTGTAACATCGTTTAACGAACACACATGTAACATTAATAACAATGCCCAGTCACCTTCGAAGTGTATGCTTTTTTCCGTTTGGAGCCTGCTTTTTCATTCTTTCTCTTGCCTTTTCCCTCTTCGTCCACTCTCCCGCCCTCTTCTTCACTGCTGGCATCCGCAGTATTTCCACCCTCTCCCTCCGTTTCTGAAGAACTCTGTTGTTGAATTGCCTTAGAAATAAGAATAGTTATTTAATCACATTTCTGAAAGACCAGAAACTATGAAAAGAATCAATTTGGTTCTAAAATTGATATGGTAATGGTTGTACAATTCTCCTCGATATGACTGAACGATTGAACTCTTTAAGTGTATGCTATGTAAATTATGTGCCAATAGAACTGTTAAAATAAAATTTAAGAAGTAAAAAATAAATGCTTTAAAAATTGCAGGGGAAAAAAAGAATCAGTTTGTTTTTGTTAAGAATATGCACAGCAAAACATATACTAATTCAACATGTACAATTTAGAGCCTTTGATTACATTCTTTGTGGTGCAACATTTTTTACCCTACTTTGCATCTGTCCTCCCTCATTAACCTAAAACCACTGCTAGTTAACCTAAGGGATGGGTTTGAAGCTTTAAAAGGTTATCTCAAGGCAGCAGTGTTATGGGTTCCTCTACTTTCCATGGCTGGCTCCAGAAAATGTAGTCAAGAGAATTCGAAATCGCTCTGTATGTTCACTCTTTTGATCAGGAATAATCTATAGATGCTTTGACAAATTGTTGAGTTAATGGTAGGCAGGTACCATCTAATTTTTCTGGTTTCATGGCCAAAAAACCCAAAAACAAAAAGCTCACTGCCACGGAGTCAATAATTCGTGGAGACAAATAGTCAAAAGCTCCACATCCTTCTCCTTTACCTGGTTCCTGACACTCCTTCCACTTTGAACCAGGCAAATAAATAAAGATCAGCTGACCCACTGATCACTCCGTGGATGGCCACCAACAAGCTGGCATTATGCCACAAACTAGGAGGTCGAACAGAAGCCCACATTTGTTTTTAAGCCCATCAACTAGGACGGACCTTGAAATCACGACCCTAAACTTCTAAACCAAACATGCCGTTTCTGTGAGGTTTCTGGTTGTACAAAAGAAGTCTCAGCAGTTACTCACTCTTTCTCGCTTTTTGAAAATAAATTTATCACACAACTTTTGCCAGTTCAACTTTTTATAAGTATACAAGTTATTCACATCAGTTACAAAAATTGGCTTTACAATCCTATCCTTAATCAGTGTTCTTTTTCTATCACTGTTAATCTCTCCTTTTCTCCTCCCTGCTGCTCCAAGAACCATTAATGAACTTTGGCCTCCATACATTTGCTTTTCTTATTTTTATAGTACACAAATGAGGTCATTTAATTTTATCCATTTGTGATTGGCTTATTCACTCAGCACGATGTCTTCAAATCTATCCATCATGTATCATTCTTCAAGACTTAATTTCTCCTCCTGATTGGGTCACATTCCTGGTAGGCACCACATTGTTTACCTATTCGTCTCCTGATGGTTGGTTCCACCTTTGGGCAACTGTGAGTACTTCTACATTGAAATGGCATGTCTTTTTTTAAATCTCGTGTCTTCACGTCTTTTGCCTTGGAGATGCTAGTTATCTGGCCTCCCTATATATGGAAGTATATGATTTTTTGGTAAAATATTTTGATGGACAAAAATTTTTAATTTTTATGAGGGTCTAATATCTACTTTGTCTCTTGTCATTTGTGCTTGTCATATTAAATAATTCATTGTAGAAAAGTAGGCCTGATGTAGTGTTGTACTGCTTTTTCTTCTAAGAATTTAGGGTTTTAATTTGTACACTGAGGTCCTTAGTCCATTCTGAGGTTGTTTTTGTGTATGGATGTTTTGAAGCACGGATCCTGTTTCTGCTTTCTTTATGTGGAAATCTAATTTTCCAGCACAATTTACTGAGGACTCTTCTTTCTTCATCAAATGGCCTTAGTACTGTTATCAAAGATCAGCTGACCACAAAGTGTAGATTTATTCCTGGGCTATCAATTCCACTGGTCTACGTGTTTACTGTTATGCCAGTACCAGGCTGTTTTGATTACTGTAGCTCTAATTACCAGGTTTGATTACCAGGTTTTACAATCAGGAAGATGAGTCCTCCTATTTTGCTCATCTCTTTCAACATAATGTTAGCTATTAAGAACCTCTTGTCATTCCATATAAAGTTGAGGATTGATCATTTCTATCCAAAAACTGATGGAATTTTGATCAAGATTGTGCTGAACCTATAGATCATTTTGGATAGTACTGACATTTTAACTACATTAGATCTTCCAATCCAGGACCATGAATAGAACATTTTCTTAGTTAAGTCTTCTTTGAGCTCTTTCAGCAGTTTTTTATAGTTTTCCTGCTCTAAGGCCTTTGTGTCCCTGGTTATATTTATTCTTAGGTATTTTATTCTTTTAGATGCTATTATAAATAAAATTGTTTCTTTAACTCCCCTTTCAGATTTTCTCACTGCTGGTACATTGAAGCCCAAATGATTTTCTTTTTAATCATTTTATCGGGAGTTCGCACAACTCTTATCACAATCCATACATCCATCCATTGTGTCAGGCACATTTGTTGCCATCATCATTCTCAAAACATTTGCTCTCTGTTTTACCCCTTGGTATCAGCTCCTCATTTTTTCCCCTCCCTCCCTGCCCCCCTCTCTCAGGAACGCTTGATAATTTATAAATTATTATTATTTTGTCATATCTTACACTGTCCATCTCCCTTGAAACCCAAATGATTTTCTTTGTTGATCTTGTACCCTGAAACTTTACTAAATTCCTCTATTAGCTCTAGAAGTATTCTAGTAGACTCTTTGGAAATTTCTATGTATAAGATTATTTCATCTATAGATACAATTTTACTTCTTTTCCAATCTGGATACTCTTTTTTCTTTTCCTTGTCTTACTGCTCTGGTTAGGACTTCTAATAAAATACTGAATGTAAGTGGGCACACTTGTCTTGTTGAATTACTACTACATTTTAATTGGAAAGAATGTAGCTTATGCTGAACATTCTCAAGTATAGGTTCAACAACTTCAACTTCCCCGTGATCACTTGAGCCCTAAGTAACAGACTTATAACTGCCACTGGAGCTACAACACATTCTGACATCATATGGATGGCAACTCCGAATACAAAAACAAGTAAGAAGGTTGGAGAAAAGGTAAAATCAAAGAAATAAGATATGGCGAGTGATAACAAGGTAAACTTACCTGATAGCCAGTAAATTTTACTCCAGGGTTATTTTCAATTTCCCACAATCCTTCATTAAATCCTTTCCGCTTATTTGACTTTCCAAACTTGTCTTTGTATTCCTTATATGGGAATAGGTCTTTGGGACCTAGAAATGCACTGTAGAGAGATTTAAGAAATATGATTGACATTATGCTCTTCAAATGGTAGGTATTTTAAATACCAGTAGCAACCAGGAGGTGAAAGCATATTTCAGTAGACACATTTAAAGTATGTATAAACTCTTTGAGTTAGGCCCGAATCATGTTTTAGATACATAATTCAAGGCACATACTCGCCGTCTTCACCTTTACTATAAAAGTACACCTTTCCCTCCATGTTTTGGAGCAAAGTCGACTTCTATCTGCTTTGTGTTTCCCTAATTCACGACTTGTATTACCTTCAACAAACCTTTCTGCTCTTACTTTAACAAAGTAAGCACTGTGACTACTACTTTTTGACGGATCTGAGCATTGAAGTTTGTTTTCACCATGACTACCTAAGACACTAACTTGGTGAATGAAACTGTGGTGGCCCACATCCTGGATGACTCCTATGAAGCTTATAATACAAAGCTTAATTTATCCGTAATCCAACAACTACTGACTGAACATCGACCACGTGTCAGGCTCATGTCAGAGGTGCTGGGGCTTCTGCAGGGAACACACAATTCTGCCCTGAAGGGTATATGCTGTAGGCCGTGGAGGGCAGAAGGTTTGCACAATAAAAAAGGAGCACATATACTATGTGTGCTAAAGGCAAAAGTAAAACAGGGAAGTGCAGGCATGGCTTTCTTATTTGAAATACATAGATCAGGTAAGCTCTTATTTTATTTCTTTACACTAAAAGAAATAAAGGAGCTAAAGGAGTCTCCGGAGGATAGCAAGTTGACGAAAGAGCAGGTGGAAAGGCCCTGAGACTGGGGCGTTTCTGGGAAACAGAGGAGGCCTGTGTGGCTAGTGTGAAATGAGTCAAGGGGCAAGTAGTCTGAGATGAAGTCGGAGAGGTCAAACTGCTCCCAGGGGAGCAGGAGACAGAGGTCCTTGGGGGCACAGTAAGGACTTTGTGTGAAACGGGATGCCATTAAAGGTTTTAAGAAAAGAAGTGCCAAACGTGTGCTTTAATAGATGATTCTAGAGTTCAGGAGGCATATCTAAGCTGGAGATACGAATGTAGGAATATCAGCAGAGAGATGACCTCAAAAGCGATGACACTATAGGTTATCAGTTTATTTTTCATTGTCTACAAGTCTAATTTTCTTACTGGGTTTCAGTACTGATTCCTTACATTGCTCAGCTGATTAAAGGTGTCAAGTTAAAAAAAAAAATCTGATGAAGCTCTGACCTCTGGGCTGTTGAAGAATCATCAGACCTCCTCTCATCCTTACTCATCTTAAACCACTCTGTCAGCACAATTTCATCTCACTGAGTCAAGAGATAGCTTTTTAGATTACTATACATTTTCATAAAAAAGCACATCACTGTCTCACTTGACAAACTCAACATGAGAAAGAAATAGACTCTGGGTATGCCCATTTCCCTGGTACAAAAATCCGTCATGAATAAATCTTATTTCACTTTTCCATAGCCTTTGGAAAAGGCTCTACGACCAGGAATTGATTGAGGGCTTGGCTGTCTGCGGTCCACACAGACCACCAGTTGGGGATGCTAACCAAGGCCTTACTTTAATGGTGTCATAAGAACCAGGGCCAAGGATTACTCTTTTTTGATGAAAGCGTGAATCACTTCTGCCCTTTCTTATTTTTATCTTATTAATCCAATTTTTCGATATATGAGATCTATGTCCTCCTGCTGCAGGGAATAGAAAGCATTCCTTTGACAACTGGCCCTGTTTCCTCAGCCAAAAGGAGATCACGAACAAACTCTTCTAAAACAAGTCCTTATGTTTTATAAACAACTGTGCTTCTTTGTCCTTTCTGGACTACTGCTAACTCTGTATATCACATTCATTCTCAATTGATTATTTTGCCATATGCTGTACAGCTTGTAAAGGGCAAGTCAGAAATAAAAGGCCAAAGCTGTTCAAAGCACATGCTCTAAGGCTATTCCCCACCCCGGTCAAGACTGCCTTAAAAATTGCCCAGACTGAAACTACTGGGGTTATATTATATAGAGCAGAATTTGGGTCTTCAATCAATCTCATCTATCTACCTGGGCATTCGAATAGTGTGAAAGATATGTTTTTAGGAGAATTCTGGCACTACATGGGTGTACTCTTATTGTTACCTTGCACACAGGGCTGATCAAAATTTTTGTTAAGTTCCTCCTCTTTCACATGCCTCTAGGTTTTTGCTTTTTATTATTTCATTTAATTAATTTTAATTCACCTAGCACGTATTTTAAAAGACCCTCCCATGGGCAAGGTACTATGCTAAGTAATGTGTATACAGGAATAAGTAACAATGATCCCTGCCTTCCAAGAGTAGTTGAATATTATTAGGTAATTGCCAGGGTATAATCACACAGTTACAGATACCCAATATCTACTGAAAAGTCACCTGAAACAATATTAAATGTTAGGTTTTTGAAGTCCCTACATTCCCCCAGATATTTATTTTAAAATCTCTACCCTGATGATACAATCAACAAAAAGCTTATATAGATGGCAACTTACTGGGGGTACATGATAGAACTGCTTTTACTGGGTTAAGACGTAGAATGGTGTCACTAACTTATATTAAGAATGCTGTTAAGAAACAGCTCTGTGAAACCCTTCCCGCTGTTTAGTGGAATTACTCTGTCACGGGCACCAGCAACACACCAGGGGGCAAGCTTTTTAAGGGCACCTTTTCATGCCCAGTGCCTGGCTAATGTCTAGAAAATAGAAGTTTGCTAAATGAATGAAAGAAACCACATAGTGTGGTAAATGGTTGATCTTGGTGTTTATAGTAGAAATGTGATGTTAATTATTAAATCCTGCCTTGTCTCAGAAATATGATCAATCAGGTCACTGGGAAATAGGTCCTAAAGAGAAAGAAAAACAGTAATATAGACATGAAATGGAGCTAGGAAATGAGGCAAATACAAAAATACATCACAAAGGAGTGGGGTTTTTCTGTTTTGTCTAGTCATCAATGTTGTGGTTGGGTTTTTTTGGCTTCCTGTTAATTACCTAGGGGGCGGGCTGGGATAAAGCAGGGCTTTCTACTCCAGTAAGGAGTTACAGGCTAGGAAGCCCATCGGGGCCGCTCCCCCTCTTCTTGATGAACCCAGATGGACGACGGCAGTGGGTTTGTGTTGGAGGGCGTGGCAGGGAAGGCTGGGGAGGAATGGGGAGCTAACAACAATAAATAGTAGAAGGAAATGTTCTGAAATTGGTCGTGGCAATTATTGAACAACTCTTCTTAAAAGGACTGAATGGTTAAGTGATGATATGTAAAATATTTGCCAATAAAGTCACTTAAAAATTTTTACTCCAAGAAAAAGGTACATTTATTATAGAAAAACCATTTCATCCTATGCTTCCTAGAAGTCAGTGGAGGAAAATGTGATTCTCTGCATAATTCAGTGTCTTATTAGCTTAAATAAAGAAACTCTCTTTCAAGGCAAGAATGAGAAAGAGTCCGAGTGACAAAGATAAGAAGGAGATCACGTGTGGTTCTACTAATCTTGAAATTAACAGAATGGATCTGGAGACTTACAAGCGTTCATGATAGCTTTTAGTTTTCCTCCACATTTTCAATTTCTATTCCATTTGTTTTTCCGGTTGTAAGTAATCATATGCATTCTTAGTGTGTCAGCCCCTCATTATTCATTCTTCTCTTCTTTCTTTTATTAATGGTTACTCCTCCCAATGTTTTTAACGCAGAATATGCAGCTGTCAGGCTAGAGATGGTATGTTCCCCAACTTCTCCTACAGCTACATGTTACACGTGATCAAGTTCTACAACTTTTTTGTCATTTCCGTAAAAAGAAGTCAGCCTTCTCTCTGGCTGGAAAACGGGCATATAAGCTGCTGTCTGCAATTCTTAATTAAGCATACAAACAAGGGATGGTGGGACAATAAGGCAGAAGGAACCTGGGTCCTTAAGGTGGAGTAATTTATCCTCCTGATGTGTTCACCTCCGAATTGTTTCAAAAGGAAGGTCTATTACTATCTGAGACACTAATTTTCACTTTCCTTCATTACAACAGTTTTAACCTACCCATCAAGATAGTTAGAGCTTTAAAATAAGGCATGTATGTTTGTGTCAGGATTCACAAGTTGAAAGAGCCTGCAAGAACACAATTTTTTCTATGAACTATGAAGAAGCAATTTGTGGGAATGGCAAGCAAACTACCCCGGGGCTTAAAAGGCGTCCTAAAGGGAGACTTCTCCATAATACCCACAGTTCACAGAATGAAAATGACATTCAAATCTAAAATATGCTTTCAGACATTAAGACCATGAAACGTATACGTTATCACGCTTGCTAATTTTATATAACAGACTACTCTATTTTAACAATATATAAAACATTATAGATCTTCCATAAACATAGTAGTCTCACAGAGCAAAGGGGAGTTGCTGACACTGAATTTTGCTGACTTACGTTTCATGGGTGCCAAAAAAGAAGATAGGGTACTTGTTTGCCGGAGGCTTCACAGCTCCTTCTGGGAGTTCATCAATCTATTAAAGATAAACCTTGTTATTATGTATTTAATAAAATTATGCAAAAGAAACAATATAAAACTCAGATAATCTGTTGCTAATTTCAAAATAAAAGCACTCTAATCAAAATTTTAAATTTCATTTTCTTGAACCCTAAAATGATTATGAAGTTCCTATGTGGCCCACCTCATGGATAGTAACACTGTCAATTGATGATAACTGCTATAGTGATACAAAATTAGGATTAAAAAACCCTCATATTTCCTTTTGACTCAATATAATTATTCGTGGAAGTTTATTCTAGTGAAATAATTCTTTTTTAACGTCATGAAAAGATAATAAAAAAGATGTAGGCCTAAAAGCCCGTTTTATATACATATAAATTTAAAAACATATTTTAGTAGATATTAAGTATATAATTTATACATAGTAAATATAATAATTTAAAAACATACATCTATATTTAAAACCCAAGGAATGCAAGGTAAGTTCAACATAAAAAAATTAAGGACACACACATTAAAAGCAGGATATGGGAGAAAAGAACCCACAGGGATATCTACATTAATAAAGAAAAAGCACTACTGTTAAAAAGTTCATGTCCTTTCGTGATAAAAATAACCCCAAAATGCACCAAAGTCGGGGTGTCGTTGTCTTTGGGGGTCACTGAGCAGGTTCTGACTCAGAGTGACCCTACGTACAGTGGAAATAAACACTGCCCGGTCCTGCACCATCCTCACGATTCTTATGTGTGGGCTCAGTGCTGTAGCCACTGTACCAATCCAGGTATACTGGATGCTCTCCCTCTTTTGCAAGGATTAAACACAATGTCTTTCTCCATGGAATGGTTTCTCCTGAGAACATGCCTAATGCATAGAAGACAAAGTCCCACCATCCTTGCTTCTACGAACATTCTGGTTGAACTTCCTCCAAGGCAGATTTGTTTGTTCTTCTGGTAGTCCGTGGTATTTTCAATATTCTTTGTCTACATCATAATTCAAATAAATTAATTCTTCTCCAGTCTTATTTATTCATTGTCCAACTTTTACATGCACCTGCGGCATCTGAAACTACCACGGCTTGCATCAGGAACACCTTAGTTCTCAAAGTGACATCCTTACTTTTTAAAAACATTTTTATGAAATACTGTGTAATATGTCATCTGACTCTTGAATGATGGTTCCAAGAACACTGATTGTGGACCCAAACAAAATGAATCTTTCGTAACATCTATCTTTTCGCATTTACCATGATGTTCAGTTTTAAGGATTCTTGCTTTCTTTACATGGAGTTGTAATCCATACTGAAGGACTGATCTTCATCATTAAGTGCTTCAAGTCCTCTTCTCTTTCAGTAAGCAAGACAACATACCGCAGAGGTTGTTAAAGAGCCTTCTTCCTATCCCGATGCCAAGATCTTCTTCAAATAGTCTAATTTCCAGATTATTTGCTCAGCATATTGATTTGCTAAAGATACAACCCTAATGCACCCCTCTTAATTTCACACTATGCAGTATTCCCTTGTGTCTGAATATGTGTTTGAGTTAGTCTGTGTATAACAGCAGTTCTCAACCTGTGGGTAGCAACCCCTTTGGGGATGGAAGACCCTTTCACAGGGGTCGCCCGATTCATAACAGTAGCAAAATTACAGTTATGAAGTAGCAACAAAAATAATTTATGGTTGGGGGGTCACCACAACATGAGGAACTGTATTAAAGGGTCGCAGCATTAGGAAGGTTGAGAACCACTGATGTATAGGTTTCACATGAGTACAATGAAGCGTTTAGGAATTCCCGTTCATCCTAGTGATGTCCATAGCTTGTTATGATGCACGTTTGAATTCTTTTGAAGAGTCAATAAAACAGAAGTAAAGATTGAGATAGTTTATTGTGCCAGTCTGGCCGATAAACACAAGTGGGATTAAATGAAGGGCAGAGAGCTAAATGGCTCCGTGAGCCTTGCCTTTCTTGTCTCTCGCTCTTTGATATCAGACCAGTGTGTGGCTGCCTCGCTTGTTCTGTGCCTCAATTTACAGGCTACACTACCTGTGGGATGCCTAGCTTGTGAACTATGTCGCTATAAGTTGAGGTCCCTTTAAGAGATCTCTGGAGCTGGGGACTGGCGGTTGGTGACCTGGCTGACAGTTGGTGACCTGCCTTGTGATTGGCTGCTGTGCTGA